TTGGCGCGACACGGTAGAGTTGCCGTTGCGCGCATTGAGAATCTTGGTGCACGGTTTTGGCATAAAACCTGTGCAATTGCTTTTTAGGTATTTTTACCTAGGATTATTTTTGTGTTGTACACAGAGAATTACAACATAACGTAAGGATGAGCAATTGGACAAATTGTTAAGGATTAAGCTTTTGGTTAGTAGTGCCATGAATTTCGCAGCGCCGTAAGAATGAGAATAATTGAAAGCGCTCAGAAGAACTCAGTGTTTTTAATCAAAGGTGTTAGCAAAGGCAGGTAACTAACCAAACTAACCTGCTAGAAGGCAGTGTTTGTCACTTTTTGTTGTTGTCTTCTTTGAAGAATGATTGATCAAGAGATCATATAAACGGATGATTAAGCTTTCCTTAAACATCAAGGTAGACCGTTAGGTCACAACGTAGGTTAAGCTTTCGGGAGGCTGGTGAAACTTTATGTCTCAGTGGTAGACAATACGGGCGGCCGTAAACAAAGACGGACGTTCGGACAAAATTAGCGCTCACTGAATCCGAGTTCCTGACTGATGCTCTCAGCAGGACAGGGCCGTGTAAGTAGTCAGCGACAAAAAAAAAGAGTCTGCCGTTATATGTCTCGACGACAGTGGCAACGAGTATGATGCGTTCTACTTGAGCCAGAGTTTGGGCTCTCGTGAGATAACGTACTGCGCTTCAGGAAAGGAGTGCGCCTGCATTGTGTAGAGCATTCATCAGTGGCAGTGTTATCTCAGGGGAGGGCTAAATTTAAAGTAGATACAGGCCATTGTCCCCTTGGCTGCAAACCATGACATCGAAGAACAGTCGCCTTGTGAGGCGGAGCTTGATTCTTCGAAAATATCATTTTGGCATTAGGAAAAGGGCAAATTGAATGGAAACGCTGGCGTGCTCCGTCGCTCTTTCTAAACCATTCTGGAGTGCTCTTGGTGTATCAAAATTGATATTTTAGTTTTTTTTTGTCGTGCATCTTATTATGTACATGTGTAAGGTAGCACGCCTGGTTTTTCAGCTCAAGTGAGTCCTGAGAGTTCTGAGAGTGAGCTTTTGTTAAAGCTAGTACTTAAAATTGGTTTTTCATCCCTCTTTTGGCTTGGTTTGTTCGAAGGGGGCCGAGTGCTTGCTTGTGCATGTGGTCCAGTTGCAGAAACGGTGTCGAAGATTCGGCCTTTACTCAGACCATGCCACAAGCGAAGGCGAGTTCTTGGGATTCGACTACGGACCCTTTCGTCGTCCCTGCGAGCAGCAGTGTTGACCGCTGCCCTCCGTGACTCATCTGGCGAGGGGGAAGCTGTTATGACCGGCGTCAGCAGGCGCCATGCTGTCGCTGAGAAGCGTAGCCGGGCCGTGTTCCCACGCCTGGAACTCCAGTTTTCTCGGAACCAGCGTCCAGAGATGACGGGGGAGCGGCGCTCTTTTAATCCCCAAACAAGTAGCCGACTCGCCGAATGTCTATGCTCGCCGGCTATTGTCCCTGCTAGCCGGCGGATGAGACGTCCTGTCGCCACGAAGCTGTAAGCCGTTCCGGAGGGGACAACAAAGAGCGTATTCCTTTGAAGAAACGGCGACCGCCGCCACAAAGTGCCCGGCTAATTGAGCGGACCGTTTGGCGGACCGTTTGATGTCTGCTGTCCGAAGCTTGGAACCCCTCGACCAGCGACATACACGACGAGCAAGAGACTCTCTGGCGCCACCTTTAAGTGCAGTGATCTTGACTCGAAATTGGCTGTTCACGTGCGCCGTGCATGCTCGTACCCCTCACCTGTTGTGTGTGTGTGTGATTGGTGTTCCACTGAAGAAGGAGGAGCCCGAGAGGACTTATAACGGCGCCGCAGAGTGCAGGACGTCGCTCTGAACCAAGAAAAGGTTTAACCACCACGCTCGTGGTTTGTGAACTCTTAACCTCATGCTGTAAATATTTGTAAATAGTGCCATAAACCTTGTTTGTTTTTCGTATCCCCATCTTGTAAGCGCTCGTTTCCTCAATCCGAAGCTACACCACGCTACCACAGCACCCCGGGATCACAACAGTGGCCAGTTGATTTGTAACTGGAACCGTATGCTAACTAGAACCAGTTGCAAATGGAATCAACAGGCACCAGTTGAGTTTTAAGTGGTACCAGTTGCAACTGGAATCAACTGGGACCAGTTAGTTCTCAACTGGGACGAGCTGATACCAATTAATACCAGTTGATACCAGTTGCATCCCCAATTACACATTTTCACTTGGGTTGGACATCTTTAAAGAAAGCATAACCATTTGTATTCTGGTTGCAACAGTTACAGGCGTAACCACATGGCATAGTGCCAGCAAACGGCACAGAAAACAAAGCGTGCATAACGTTTGCTACGAGAGCTATTTGCAGCCCCGGCGAAAAATGGTGCCAATGAAAACAACAAAATATCAGCACAGTGCAAGATTTGCACCCCTCCAAGGGCAACAGCGAAGGAGACCAGTCATCACGCAGAAACAGCGGGGAAGAACGGGAGGACTCGAAAGGGACGAGGAGAGAGAGAAAAGGTGGCGCGCAAGGCAGCGAGTACAATGGATGGCGGTACTTTCTCAAGATCTAGGGACTTCACTGCCGCAGAGCGCTGGCCACGTGCTGCCTTCTTTCATTTCATAAAGGACGACAGAGTGCATTGTTTATTGACATAATTTTACATATTATCATCTACTCACTGCAGAAACCTTTGAGATGGACCATCAGATTCATTATACAGTGCAAAGGTATTTAAATGAAAAGTCAGAGAGAATATTTTTTTCTTAAACCGAATCACACTCGAAATATCCAGTGCAACTAGAGTGTGCTTAACAGAGCCAGCTTGCCCGCAGTCCAAATGTTGAAATCACTGTATGTAACACCACATAAAAAAAAAACTTAGCAGACATTATGCAGTGGCCTAATTTTGTGAGTCAGTTCTCAAGACTTTGAATGAAGATACAGTGCTGGAACAAGATGGATATGAGAGACACAAACAGCGACATGTTTGTGTCTTCTCGTCTCTGTCCTGTTCCAGCGCTGTATCTTCATTCTAAGTTACTATGTATCAATCAGGCTAATTCAATATGCTAATGCAGCTTTCAAGACATATTTTTTTGCAAGAACAGGACGAGCAGCAGTTTTGTTCACTGAGAAGGTTCTTTGGTACAGCTGCTCTTTTATTGCTTGTTGATGCCATTACTGCATGCTACATGCTTAGCAGCCCTGTTTTACTAGTGGTGTCAGCTGTTCACGATTATCTCCAGTTGTTTTGATAATATTGTGAGAGGTTTTTAATTGAAGGCAATCATGTCATAACATGCCATGTATGTGTCATGGTTATCTAAACGAACTTAGATGGTTTTTAATAAAAGAGCATACCTCCTGTATTGATAGTGAGGTAACTAGGGCTTCACTTGAAAGCTTATCACTGTCTTGTGGGCTGACCGTGACTGAAAAAGTTCTACTTTTGGTTGAGATTTCCTTGCCAAAAGGTCTTCAGTAATATGTATATACATACTGCTTCTCATAGCTTTATTGATACAATACTGGTCATAGTTTTGGAAATTAAACTTCAGTACATTATAGCATGCTTTAATTATAAATTCAGGCAAAAGACAATAATGTCAGGATTACAAACACTGGGTTTTTGTTGTGACTTTTCATCTGTCTGTAACATGGTATGCACTAAGATATAAAGAGGAAACTGAGCAGCTGGTGTAATCAAGCAAAGTGTCAGGCAGTGTTCTTCCCCATTGCTCTTCAAAAAGAGGCCCTGAGACACTTTTCTAAGTAGCCATGGAATGGATTCATTAAAGGAGCTTATTCGCTTATGGACTCGCCACCACAAAAGTTTTTAAAATCCGTCCAGTACAAACGGAGTTAGAAAGATTTGTTGCATGCTGCAATCACATTCTTTTTCCTCTTGTCCCGAGGAAAAAGCTAGGAGCTAAGTTGAGAGGGATGGCATGGGGAAAGAAAATGCGTCACGTGTGCCTCGTGCCCTTGAGCACTTTTTTTTTATTCAAATGGGTAACTTTTCAGTGCAATTGTATGTGCGCGAGTGGATAAGTCGCCTCCCGCAGCGGCCCCTGTAACGACTGAGCGCGCCATGCTCAAATCAACCAAAGGCTGATACTTCGGCTGTGATGTAGTGATATTGAGCCTGCAGCGTCATTTGTTGAGAAAAGAGAAAGTGATTCTCAGCTGACTTTGAGAATTTATTGTAAATTTCAAGCCGTGTGCTGCGCTATAATATTTGTCACACTTGTTCTTGGGAGCCTCGACTACCGATCGGCAGCAATTTCTGACCATGCTCAAAAAGTGTTGCTGGGTCCCTTCTTATTTTTGCAATGCACTGGTCACAGTTGCCTAAGACTGAATTTTGAATTTCTTTGCAGTATGCAGCATTGCTGAATTTACCTGTTCTCTTTCCTAACTACTTGTTTTATGGTTCCTGTGTATTTTACAATACTAGGTGTTGATTATCTTCTTTCTCAATTCTGGTAGAGCTGGTAAATGTGCTGAATAGTTTTTAAAAGAGCCAGCTGGAACATGGTATTTCGATAGGAACAGCGCAGGGATGGGACAGAAGAGAAGAAGCATAGCACTTGTGTTGTCGGCTTCTTTTTTGCTCATCTCCATGCTGTCTTTATGGAAACGGATGCAGGAAGGAAATATAAGGGAAATAATAATAAATTGATTTTCTCAACCTTCTAGGGCCCTAAATGAGGTCTTGCATAACAGTGGAGCAATAAAGCAAAACAGAAGTGCATAATATTAATTTATTTATTCAAATAAAGGTTAGTCTTGTGAGCCGTGTAGTCCTAAGTAGGTTAGTACTAAAAAAAAAATCAGTTTCAGAAGTCATTTGAACTCAGTAACGAAAAGAAAAAAAAACAAAAAAAAGAAATACTGGTAGGGTAATAACTGTATCTAGTGAATTAACGTTGTGCAGTTTTTCTTGTATGACAACCTACACTGGTCCTTCTCTTGTGCAGCACTCCTTTAAGGTTTCCTGAGTGTCTCCTAACGAACAAACGAGCACCACCAGGCCGCGACTGCTGTGCACTGTGGCCTCCACATACTGGCTGCCTTTGAAGGAGGCGACAGCAGCAGCATGGCGGGCCACCAGGCAAGCTTCTCTGCGAGCCGGTCGGCCCCGGAGGAGGAGCGACCGTCGGTGCGCATCTCACTGCAACCATCGCAGATTGCGCTGCCTACGTATCGCCACTCATCCGGGGGCAGCATAAGCCTCAGCGGTCGACGCTACTCGGGCCTGCTGCCCATGCTGTTTGACCGGGCGGCACGCTCCTGGTGGGACCCAAGCTTTGACTCGCACATCCTTGAAGCCCAGTACAAACGGAGTACATTCCCGCAGCTGTGTCAGCGGTTCCAGTATGCCCTTTGCTACTGCGTGCTGGCTTCCCTGCTCTACTGCATCTACTCGGCCAGCATGGTGCGGCCGCATTGGGTTGCTGCCGTCGTAGTGTCACTGCTAGTATCAGTGTTGAGCATGGCCGCTCTTGTGTTCACCCAGTCACGGTACTATACTGCCAATTATGTCAAGGTTTCACTAGCCACGGTGGTCGTGCTGTGCACGGCATCTCTTTCAGTGTTTGCGCCGATCGTACATGAGCGTAGAGATGAGAGTGCTGTTCACATCTTGTCTGTGGGGGCCTTTTCGCTCTGCATCCTGGTGCTGATGATCACGTACGCGTTGCTGCCGATGCCCCTGTATTTGGTTGTGGCCGTTTGCAGTGCCTACTCGATACTTTTTGAGGTCCTCTCGGCGCTGCTTATTCCCACCCTTACGGGCACCGTTGTTGCTGTGCGTGTACTTCTACAGCTGTGTGTTCATCTTGTCGGTCTGCACACCCGTGTGATGACTGAGATTGGAATGCGTAACACATTCTTCAAAGTTGGCCAGTCCCTCATGGTGCGCCGGGATCTTGAAGTGGAGAAGCAGCTGAAGGAAAAGATGATTCATTCGGTCATGCCGCCCAAGGTGGCCGAGTGGCTTATGACCAACGTGGAAGAGGATGACACATCCTCCGAGCAGCCTCGAAAGCCTTCAACCAGCCCCCGGCCCTCACAGATGATCTTCCGTCCCTTCAATATGCACCGCATTGAAAATGTCAGCATCCTGTTTGCCGACATTGTTGGCTTCACACAGATGAGTGCTAACAAGAGTGCCGAGCACTTGGTGGGCCTTCTGAACGACCTTTTTGGGCGCTTTGACTATCTCTGCAACAAGCTCGGATGCGAGAAAATAAGCACTCTTGGCGACTGCTACTACTGTGTCTCTGGATGTCCCGAGCCTCGTCCCGACCATGCCCGTTGTTGCGTGGAAATGGGACTTGCCATGATACGTGCCATTGCTGAATTTGATGAGGACACTAATGAGTCGGTGAACATGCGTGTCGGTGTTCACACGGGCACCGTGCTATGTGGCATCGTGGGCACCAAGCGCTTCAAATTTGATGTGTGGTCCAATGACGTGTCCTATGCCAACAAGATGGAGTCTACTGGGCGGCCTGGGAGAGTGCATGTGTCAGACAGCTCCCACGCATTCCTCATAGACCATTACTATATGGAGGAAGGCCCAATGGACCTTAGTAAGTAACCACCATTTTGGTTCTCATGTTTGGCATTGTCTGCAAATGGCTATAGCAGGCCTCTAGACCAGCCTTGATAGTGCCTTAAATTAGTACCATGCCAGACTTATCTCTTCACTAGTTTCATGTGACATAATTGACAGTCACTTCAATCATATTGGACTGTATAATTATGCCATTACCTTGCTAATAACTAATACAGATAAACCAAGGAAAGAATTTTGGATGCAATAGCAGCAATTATATGTGTGCAAATTGGCTACATCAATGTTGAGCAATGCCTCTCCAAAAAATTAGTGGAATAAGTTCACGTGGTTGCTCCCAGTGTACCTTCAGAGAAAGGAATGGACCAGTGTAGGTCACGTAATGTGAGGGACAGATAGCCAGTGGTCAATTAGAGTAATGAAATATACAGCAAACATGAAATGTAGCGGAGAATGGCAGATAGTTGAGGGCTGAGATGAAATCATGCGTAACTTGTTAGTCCTGGCTCTGTAACGAAGTTTTACTACCAGCACCTTGGTTGAGAGCGGCATTTGGCTAAATGGTGTGCACTACATGGTATCTTCATGCATCAGTTAGTTTGTGCGATATAATGCTTTCACATGGTAACATGCTATATAAATGCCCCAAAATCATCAGTGAGAAGTATTTTAACATGAGAAAAGCTCATTGTGGTTTAAAAGTAACTTTGAACTACGAATCGGAATGAGTCAACTGACATGGTAAAACGCATATAAATGATGATGCAGTTGACAGTCCTTCTCAGTTTTCAATGTCACACCTTTCAGATGACCCAAACAAATGTGCAAGGAAAAGAAAAAAAGAACACAGAACGGTAAACATATTCTAATCTGTAAATTAAAGAAACTTGCTCATCGCAGAAACGTTCATATGTGTTCAATGCACTATTTGTTCAAAATTAAAAACCTTTGCTTAAACATCAAAGGTTGCTTATCTTGTTTTGATGAGATTCCAAGAAATTTGTCACAGGAGTTTAGAGGATGCTTAAGATGTAATGTAATATATAGTTCAATAATAATTTATTAGAAGGCCTCTCTTGGCAGACCTTAGGCCTTTGACCTCACTTAGCAAAACATTTTGTTAGGCTATTTGGTTCGTGACATTCCTGAGCTCTTTGTTCGTTCATGTGTTGTTTTATGATACGATATTTTTCCTAGGCGCTCTTTTTTTCATATTGTCGAAAATTTCCCCCAAAAAAAAGTGTTTTGCTGTTACTCCTTCAATGTAGCTCACCGAGTGCACTACTAATTAGATTAGGCAGTGTAAAATTTAGTAAAGCAGTCGAAAAAATGGTAGTGTATTTAACATAGAAAAAAGGTAAGGACAATAACGTACTTGCCCAGCTTACAATATTTTTCAATCTGTGTTTGATTAAGAGCTGTGATATGAAACAGATGCTAACCATAACATCTTTCAGGCTACCTTTGTTTTTCTTGTTTCTTTTTTAAGGAAAATAAATATGTGAGAAATATTTAGTGATTGCTGTGACATATTGAATTAATGGCTTAATGAATTCTATCATCTGCGTAACCTTATGCTAACTTGAGTGAGTGCCAATGCATGTTGATGTAGTCAGAGCCTACGGAATTATTTAAGTGTAGAGTATGAAGGGAAGATTTCTAATACATTTCATGAGGGATGGAACTGCTTATGTATTTCTCTTTTGAACTGTGACTATAAGCCTATGTTGAGAGAAGGTGGGCTGTTGTGCTATTTACTAGCATTGTGAAGGCAACAGGTAATATAAAGTATTTTTAACATTGTACCGTTCTCATTGTTACCTCTTGCATTGGTACCGCAAGAATGAAATAAGTATCAGTAATAGTGTTTACTATTGGGAGGTTTGTTAGTTTTAGCTCATATTAAAGGGGCACTGACATGAATGTTATTCTTTTGTGTTAAGCGTAAGGACAATACTGAAAGAGCATAGAAATTTTGTATTGGTAAGTGGGAGCGCGCCCTGGAAAATAATTACAACATATTTTCAAAAACTAGTTTCTGGTCCTACCGTATCGTGATGTCAGACACTCTGGTTGTTCAAATACTGTGACGTTTCCACAACCACTGTTTTCTGTGGCTCTATTGGCAACACGAAAATGGCCATTTTGTGTTTTTTTTGTGCCTGGCATCATCACATCTAGCCATACTTGTGCATGAAGTCACCAACATGGATTGTGTAGCCCAATGTCATGCTAGCGTCAGTGTGAGTGAGTGTGTCATGGGAAAATCGGCTTTAATATCAAAATACAATACCGTCATCTACTAAGCTGTGCAATTGATGGGAAATTTTTCATCATGTCTGTAGAGCACGCTAATACCTACAGTATTGTACATGCTTTTGAAGTAGCAGGAAACGATATGCTGAACATGGAGCAAATTTTGTAGGAGATCTTGAAAGAAACAGGCTGTGCATTGTTCTGCATCACATTTTCATGCATGTTGTGTCGGGGTTTGCATAATACTATATTGTTTCTGGATGCCTCATTTTCATTACTAGATCGCAAGACCTACTTCATCAGAGGCCGCAAGCCAACAGCATTTGACAAGGCACAACAGATGGCATCACGACACTCCTGGCCCCACACCATCGGTTTTACTGAAACGGCAAAGACCATTGACACTCGAAAGGTCAGCTGCCCAGCCCACCAACCTGGTGTAAGTACATCCTTTCCCTAAAGAAAGGAAAATTGACAACCACCTATTCTGAGTAAGCAGCTTGTAGGAAACTCGTACGGATGTCTCAGAAAAAAAGGCTCATTAGCTGCTGAAAAATTCCTCCTGGTCTGCGGGATTGAACCTGGGACCAAGGCGTTGATCCCAGCTGGATCTTTGGGTATTGGCCACCATGACAGGAAGCCTATGGAGATTTTCTAGGTGTGACCCCTAGGTGGCACTTTTAGAACTACAGATGACTAATTTGTAAAGCACTGCATGGTAGAAGGCGGTCCTAAACGCTTGCAACCCCTCAGCGTGTAGGTAGTTTGTAATTATGGTGTAAAAAAGCTGGCCTGTGATTGATAATTTTTTGTGATAGCATTAATGAGCTTGTTTCGCAGGAATACTAGTGTCGGTGCCGGTGACGGCATCATTGGTTGTGAGCGAAAAATTGTCTCTTCAGTGATAAAAAAGTCGAGAAAGATGCAAATAAAAGAAATAATAAAAATTGTGGGGTCATAATGAAAATGAGTGCTCAGAAAGACAGTGAGAATAACTTTCTCTGCAGGGAAATTCAGCGAAAATGACTTTTATGATTTACAAACATACGTGTCCTCTATACAGGATTCACAATACAACATGTTATATTGCTGTAATATAACGCGGCACAAGGGTACATTGCCATCGGGCATCAGAACATATGATCATCATAACGGCTTTGTGGTTTAAAGCCAGTCACCCATTACAAAAGGCACACACGCTGCTGCACGTATTTCCACATAGTGCGGGCATAGCATGTACAAAAACATTTTACGTGCATAATTGCTTGTGGTTCAAAGCATGCTACTCATTACACAGAATGCAGTCGTATGCAAAAGCTTCATTGACCCAAGGCACTTTCAGCTTCATTAATTCCATTGTTGTAATCCACATTTTAAACGTCTCAAGTAACATCATACAGTAACAAGTATGCACTAAGTGATTTAAATACGCACTATGGACAGGATATCGCTATCGCGTTCAACTTTTAAAAGTGAAGGTTAAGGGTCCTCCAGTTTTTTCCTCCAACAGCCTCGATGTTGTGTACATATAATGTGTGTATGAAAACGCAGTTCCTTTATTACCAAGGGTTTACCGTCTGTGCTCATCGACCAGGAACAGTGTCCTTTAAAACCACTGCAGTTTATGCTTCCATACTGTGACTTTAGTGTTTTTCATGTGAAATTTATTGTATTTTGTATCTGTAACAAGTCAGCACTGGACTTTAAATGAAGTAAGAGCTGCATAAGCTAGTAAGGGAAGAGTTGATTGCACATGAAATATGCATTTATGATTGCCTAAGCTATAAATTTGTTTTATCTGTCTGAGATCTTTTAAACATGATCTACTGTATTGGGTGCAAATTGCACCACTAGTTGAAATATCGATATCAGAAGTTAAATCAAGATGCTTGTTTTAGTGCTCATTGTTTCTCCGTGCTTGAATTTTGCTATTGAAAGGGACACAAAAGGCAAATATTAAGTCTATCTTGATTGTTGAAATAGCTGTCCAGAAACCTTGTAGTGCTACATTTGTGCCAAGGAAGTGCTTATTTTGAAATAAAATAACGTTTTAGTAGTTAGCACACTTCAAATCCCCCGCCTGAAAGCGGTTCGTCTCGTGTCATTGTTGCCGTGCCCAACGTTGCCAGCCTCTACTGCACGGCCGCCCACACTAGTAGCAGCAGAGCAAAAGCAGCGGGAGCCACAGCAGCAACAACGGCCATTGAGCAATTTTCAGCCTGCTCAGTTTAACTAAGTCCTGGGATGGCACCACCTATCCAGCCTACCAAGGCAAAACTGGAATTTTCAAACCACTCGTGCAATTCCCCATAGTAATGCCAGGATGTTCCTCTTTCTATAAATCAAACAGGAATGAACAAGCAGCACATTTTATTAAGTCTCGTGATACACGGATAGCTTTCATTGCAGCTTGTTTGATTATTAGTGATTAATTGTCGTCATGCACTCTCACGTTATTGTGGCACACATCGTGTGGTACATTTAGCTTGTTTTCTCGGTAAGTTGGGCACTGCTGTTGGTAATATTGTCATTTTAGACATTGTCATGCATAGAGCTTTCATTCTGACATAAACTGTTATTCGCCTTTAGTGAACCTTTAAAGGTGACACGTAGACTACAAGTAATTCTCACACAACATTCAGTAAGTGCAGTTACAAAGGTGAAATCGGCATTATCCATTTTCTGGAGGGAGTGATTGTTGCTATAGAGCAAGAAGTCTAGACGGACCGTGCATTCACATGCTAACTGTGCTTAACGCTTTTTCAGGATATTGAAGAAGAAGAAGTTGCTCCCATGCTGCCCCCTGTACACCGCCACAGCAGCCTCTCAACACTGAACAGCAGCCGCAAAGATTCTGGCATTCGGAGCAGGCAGAGCAGCATTCAGGACACAGTCAGTGGGAAATATCTTTTTAAAACATTCATGTCTTATGCATTGCTGGTTGTTCACATTTTCTCATTTATTTTTGTACTTTGGACTTGGCTATATTGAGCTGCAATGCACACAAAATATGTATTTACTTCACTGATTGTTCTACTTAAACACAAGGTGATGGCTAGGGCAAATTTAAAGGCTATTGTACCTTACTTGCAAAGTCAATGTGAATGACAGCAGGCTGTGTGAACTGCGGCTGAAGAATGTGTATTCAGCCACTAGGGTACCATGACAATGATAAAGCAGAATATTACAAGCATGAGTTTTCTGCAAAAGTTACTAGAATATGTGTTGCTGGTGCATTCGTGATTAAACTCCATATCAGTTCAGCTATTATGAGAAATACTGGTAGTATGTGCGTGGATTTGCCTAATCTCGACTCTTCTGGCTTCAAACAGCTTTACGACTTTCCAAATTTATAATTTTCCAGTACATACACTGCAATCCAAAGTGATAGCAGATGTATGCAGAAACTATCTACTTGTCTTGCTGTGTTTAGGTAACAACCAGTGCTCTTGATCAGTTCATGAAAAGTTTTTGGTTAGGACATTAAAATTTCATGCAAAATAACTAAAAACAATCATCAAAGTTCTCTAAACTGCATCTGCTAGGGTGCCTCAAGTAAACACCATGTGAAGTTATAGATTGTGTGAAAATATTATGAGTGTTTAAAGGGGCTTTGCCGAAATTCCACTAAAAAATTAGTGGCACATGTTACAGCTGTTTATACTAGAACAAAAATTTTGTTCATCAGATAAAGCTGGCCGCTAACTTTTAAACGGAACATTTCTCTGCATGTCAGAATCGTTTAATTCATCTTAAACTATAAAATATCAGGTAATGCTTTAATCGCTTTAATGCAGCTGTTCTGGACATTTCTTTGTGCAGTACAGCTGTCTGCTGAGTAACACAGTGGCTCAATATAACACATCACAATCTGATTATTGTGCAAGCTTCCTGCTGCTTATCTGCCACGGCTACCTATTCTTTTGCTTTTTTCTTAGCTTATTGTTGCGACGATAACCTGGAATATTTTGTTGTGAGCTGCGCTTTGCATTTAATAATCATGCAGATTTTCATACTGGAAGTTAAAAAACATGAAAGAAGAAAAATATTTATGCGTATGTGATATGTATAAAATTGTACAGTATTCCGTTAGGGCAGACTTTTAAATCTGCACTGGTTGTTTAAATCTGCACTGGCTGTGTAAAGTTCTTGTTAAACTATCTACATTATTCAGTTTTGATTAGTTCAAGCCACATAGACTACTTTAATCGCCTGAGTTCGAGACTTACTGCTAACAATCAATGCTAAGGACTCGGACATTCATTCTCATTTCAGTTATGAGTTATTGAGTTATTTCAGCTCAACATACTGCATATTTGACTACGTTAAACCATTTCATTGGTCATAAAGCAGGTGCTATACGTTTTTCTCATGTAATTGTCACCATAAAAAGTTAAAAATTTTAAGGCGAACTTTTATAGAACAACTTACTCTAGATTTGTTTTCAATATGTAGTCGTAGTGAAGCTGGAGCAATGTCTCAATGCATTTTGTCATGTCTTTAACCATATTTATTTGTGCAGTATACAATCAATCCAAAAAAAATTAAGCAAAGCCTAAGTGAGGGTACCTCCAGTGTTTTCACAGCATAGAAGCATTGCTTCTTTTTTCTGGATAGGCTTTTATTATATCAGCTAAATATGCAATGAATCACTAAGTATATGCTAATGCAGATCATCGAAAAATTACATCAGCATTAGCCTTTGCTTGAAAATGATCATATCAGAGTTGGGTGCTAAGTTATTTGTGTTCTGTCATATTTTATGCATTTTGTAACATAAAGATCTAAATTTAAGGAAGTTTTACTTGGGTTTGCTGTACTGCATGTTAGTCATGCACATATTTATCTGGCCTTCAGGTATGCTTTGTCCAGCTTTACAACAATAAAGACTGCCTTGCTGTTAAGCTCATTTCAGCTCTGCATTGCACTGAAGGTGCATCAGTCATCAAAATACAGCACATTTGGAAAATTTGGGATTTCTGTGCAGTCCGTCTATCAATATAGTTTGACGTTACGCTACAGACTTTTCTAAGTTACTTTTTTTCTGAATCATAAAAATGATAGGTGTTTGCACAGGTTGTGTGCCTTTACCGTGCAGTCTGTTTGTATATAATAGTGGGCTCCACACATGGCCATACGTGTTGCCCATTGAATAGTAAATTTATTGGTGCAAACAATGCATAGAAATCATGCCGACTGTGGGTGATCCACAAATAAACTAGTCTGTTTAAATATATATATATATATATATATATATATATATATATATATATATATATATATATATAGAGAGAGAGAGAGAGAGAGAGAAAGAAAGAAAAAGAGAGTAATGCTGTAGGATACTAATCATTATATTTACATACATGATTTCTTTATGTCAAACAAGAATCTTTGTGTGCTGAGGACTTTAGGCAATGAGGAAATGTGACTATTGATTATTTACAATTAGATACAGTTAAAAAAAGCATAGAGCTTTTGTTGACTGTTTATTTTTTCCATGTCTCTATGAGCTACTCAGCTATATTATGTCATTTACTAGTTGTACCTTCTGTGCGCGCCAGACAGAAGTGGTAGATAAGTAATTGAGGTTGATTTCTGCACAAATATATTATGGTCTTCGGTAATGTTTTTTGCATTAATAAATTGTATATTAGACGTAAGCTTTGATTTACTGAAATCTCTTATAACTGCTGGAATAGAAACAGGTTTAGTAAGTTGTCATAAATTTAATCGTCCTTGCTACCCCAAATTAATCCTCCTTAATAATAAGAGACATTGAAATTTCACTACGATAGTGTAAACTGTATTTTGTACCATTTTAGGAGAACCATCATTGCGTGAAAAAGGTAAAAAACTAAGTTGTGCTAAGACAGCCATACTCATGTGACTGTAGTTTTGTATTATGTTGATGTTATTAACTCCAGATTTACTTCGAAAGAATTATGAGGGGAACAAATATGTTTTTGTTGTAAGTTGGACACACCCTTGTTTATGCGAAAAATGGAGAAAAAAAACTGTGGCTGTAACATAATTGAATGTTGCATTTAAGTGAGAAATGTTGTGTATAATTACATGTCATTTCTGGTGACACTAACGAAATGTGTTCTGTGGTGCATGATTGAAACGGAAAAGTGCACTGATGGATGCAGAATAACGAGCATGCACTTGACGGGCATGCATATTGCTGTGCCTGCACTGCAAACTTATCACTCGTGTTGTTTTGCTGGTGTGCAGCATGTCTTTGCCTGCTTAACATTCTGCTGTTTTTGCTCGTACAGATGCCACGGCAAGTTAAGGCGCTGCGCTTTAATAACAATGTTCCTGTGTTTGTCAGCATGTGGCAGGTGAACATCGTAAAGGTATATCCTTGTGTTATGTCAACACTCTTTTGTATTTTTTTTTCATTGTTCGCACAAGGCACAACACACAAGGGCATGCGATGGTCTTGCGAAAAGAGGAACTGGTGTGGCTCAGAAGGTGGTAAATGAAAAGAACTGATCGAAATAAAACTAAGTTGCACTTTCTGGTACATCTAAGCCTTTGGCTAATATACAGTGAGCAAATGCTCGCAGATCATGAAAATGCATGACGAATTGCATCGACGCGACATCTGTCAACGTGCCCCGCCGCGGTGGTCTAGTGGCTAAGGTACTCGTCTGCTGACCTGCAGGTCGCGGGATCGAATCCCGGCTGCGGCGGCTGCATTTCTGATGGAGGCGAAAATGTTGTAGGCCCATGTGCTCAGATTTGGGTGCACGTTAAAGAACCCCAGGTGGTCGAAATTCCCAGAGCCCTCCACTACGGCCTCTCTCATAATCATATGGTGGTTTTGGGACGTTAAACCCCACATAGTCAATCAATCAAGGCGGTGCCTGTTGTTGAGATGGGCGCTAAAGCAGTGGTATGCACGCGCATCCCATCACATCTGCTGGCCTGTCCAATAGCTCTGCCTTGTATGGTTACAATGCTCATTGACTAAGCTTAAACTTGGTGTTGCTTAAAAAAAAAAGGCTGTGTGCACCGGATGCGTGGGCCAGCTAATCGGCAGCCGCGAGAGAAAACAAGGATGCAGCTGTGACAGAGCTCACAAACCGACGCCCAGTTGACATCTGAGCACCTTATCCGTGTCAGGACAAAGCTACATGACAGCAAACAGATATGATGGGATGCACGTGCTCACTGCTGCTTTTGCAGCACTCTTTACAACAGCTGTAGTGCTGGCAAAGTAGCGCGTCGATGCAATCAGGCACGAGCTCCGATGATCGTTATACTTTTGCCCATGAATGTATACATAGTACTCACGGATTCATAACGTTTGCGATTGGGCTAGTTGGTGCATAGTTGAACTTGAATTGATGGCGCAAATGTTTAGACAGGAGCGAAAAAGAAGACATCGAAAGCTTTGTGTAAGCGTTCCTTCTATTATCAAAATGAGTACAGTTTTTTGGATGATAGGTTTTAATCAGTGTTTTAAAGATTGTTATTTTGCTTTTTATAAGAGTTAATAGAGAGTATCGTAGTAACCTGAGATTCGCTGATGACATTGCCTTGATGAGTAACTCGGGGGACGATTCGCAGCTCATGATTACTGAACTGGACGCAGAAAGCAGAGAGTAGGTCTGAAAATCAATATGCACAAAACTAAAGCAATGCCCAACAGTCTCCACAGAAAACAGCACTTTGCGATAGGTGGAGAGACGCTGGAACTTGTACAGAAATATGTCTACTTAGGATGGGTAGTAACCTCGGAGCTGAACCATGTGAGTGAAATAACTAGAAGATTAAGGATTGGGTGAATCACATTCGGCAAGCATTTTCAAATCATGGATGGTAATCTGCCACTAACCTCCGAGAGGAAGATATATAACAGCTGCATTTTGCCGGTACTTACCTATGGAGCAGAAACATCGAGGCTTACAAAGAGGGTACAGCTTAAATTGAGGACAATGCAGTGAGCAATGGAAAGGAAAATGATTGGCGTAATCTTGAGAGACAAGAAGAAAGCAGAGTGGATCAGGGAACAAACTGGGGTTAAAGATATGTTGAAATCAAGAAGATGAAATCGACACAGGCCAGGAAAGTAACGCTGTAGGAAGGATAATCGCTGGTCATTAAGGGTACCTTCCCAGAGAAGGCAAACGCACGAAGGGGAGACGGAAAGTAAGGTGGGTTCGATGAGATTAAAACGTTCGCAGGTATAACGTGGCAGCAGAAAGCACAAGACCAAGTTGATTGGCGGATCATGGGAGAGGTCTTTGCCTTGCAGTGAGCGTAATCAGGCTGATGATGATTACGATGATAATGATGATGATTTTGCTTTTGTGGTGTAGTGTCCATGCTTGAGGGTTCTTAAGCTAAGCTTTCAGAAGAATGAAATTTAGTTGCGAGTGTGCGCTTTTCTGTGTCTTCTTCTTCGCTCCTGTCTAAACATTTGCGCCATAATTCAGCTTCACTCACGGATTCCGACACAGCGTCAACTTCTTTAGTATAACAACTGGTGTTCGCAATTTCTCAAGATAACCATGTCGTGTCGCGACGAATCTGGTCTCTAAAAATAACGTTGTCTCTGATCTACACGTTCGAGTTGAAAATATGCTGGTATGACCCGAACTGAAGACTGTGGAAGTGAAAGTATGTGCATCACTTAGCCCTAAATTGTCCTGTCACAATTCGTGAGTACTGTAAATGCTAAATACTATGTGTATCTACATTCCTGGAAGGAGTATCAGTGAAGTAATCAAGAAATTGCTGCAATATAATTGATGATTAATATGTTGCATTTAATGTCTCAAAACCACCATTATATATATATATATATATATATATATATATATATATATATATATATATATATATATTATATATATATATATATATAAATATCAAGAAGTGATTCTACAGGTCTAGTGCTTTGTAAGCGTTGAGAAACAATGGACAAACGTGTGCGAAAATGTTTATTACTTCCAACATTTCGGCAGGAGAGCCTGCCTTTGTCAGGGAATACCCTGACTGTATTTCCTGACACAGGGTGTTCCAGCATCCACTATTACTGAAACATTTCAAAAAGCAGGTATCTGCGTGATACGTGCGGCACTTCTTTTACTGTGTCTGAAGGCGTGTTCAGATGCGTACAATTGCAGTTATGGCCTTAATTATGGAAGTTAAAACCATTACTTTTTTAACCAGTGGAAATAAGCAGTGAAGTGAAATGGGCGAATTCAAGTCCTTTTTGTGAATAGTCCGTAACCAGTTGGAAATTTTTTAAAGGTGGCCACTTAATTGTAATAACCGACGGTGATGAAATCTGGTCAATTTAGCTGGTGAAACCCAAACCTACACATCAAACAGTGTATTTAACATTCACATTGAATGCACCCTCAATGATGACATGGTTTCCCTTGCATTGGGGGAGGAGGATGCCGCAGGAAAACCTTGTCACGAAACAAGGTATCTAGATTGACGGTTGATAACGGCATGTTTGTCTGCCTAAGTAGACAGGCAGACAACCATATTCTATTTATTTAAATGTCCTTAACATGAGCGTTAGCAATACATGGGGGCGTCACATTCAGTCCTATAATAAACACGATGCATGCATTTGAACAGATAATTTATGCTGGGACTAAACAACATGCAGAAAATTATCTGAAGGCTTATAGATGCTTATGGTCATTGCAATGGGTCTTACATAGTTCAAATAAATAATACTCTTACTCAAAGGAACCCATTCTAGAAGGTATTGGCTATTACATTAAATAATCACATTTAATTTTAAAAGTAAAGCCAAATAGAAAAAGGGAAACAATGCTTCAAGTTATGAAGTAACTTCATAATCAGAGGCAGTTCATCATGTTGCAGCATTTTAACGAGCGAGAGTTTTTCAACAGCATCCGCCTATAATGCTAAGTTTTGTGCAAACATTAATGTATTAATAATATGCACAACTGGGAGACGTGACCAACTCGGCGCACATCCCTGCCTTATATATACAGTTTGGAATATGTTTGTATGCGATATTTGTACATATAAAACAGCTGTGTAAATAGAACAAGTGAAAGCAAGTTAATGTGTACTTAAAATGGTGCAGTTTAAAACACAAGTAGTGTAATAGCCTTTCCTTTAACAGTACTAGTCTTCAGAATTCACTATAAATATTTCTTTGCACACCGAGTTTGAATCACTGAAATCGATACTGTAATCAGTTCTTATACCTTGTGAGACAATGCAACATAAATTGCTCCTTTCAAGATATCGCATGCCCTCCTTTTTGCACGATTTTTCACATAAAAAGCTGGTGTTCTTCGGCATAGTTTCATGGAATTTGGTGTTTAAGAGTGCTAAAGATCTTTGCACAGCTCTCGCATGAATCTTTCATTACTATCAGAGTCGAGTGCATTTACAGGTGTGAATATTGTTACGGCAACTGTGGATACTTGGTTTTGCCATTCCATTCTGCCTTTTACACTTCTTACTCTGCATTTTGCATGGTTCTAAAAATTGCATGTGCCAAATGTGTCATCATACGCATATGCGATTTGTATGTGATATAGAAAAAGCATGGTTCTGTCATTGCATGCGTCAATTGTCACATTCATGAAAAAAACCCAGAAAGCTTAGATGCAAGCAGCTCACTGTGCTGTGGCATTTATATGCCGATTCCTAATGTAACTTATTGTATCTTAACAATCAGAATAAGTTGAAGCTTGGTAATTGGAACTCGAAGTAGATTATAAGATTGTTTGAAATAACCGGAGTTTGAATTAATGGGCAGCACTACTACATCTTGCCACACTGTGCAGTATGAAACCAAAGAAGCCACCTCTGGATTTTTCAGGGCGAATTAGGGGTTACTAATACATGTCTGTGGCAGGTTATTTCGTAAATTAAGTTCATGGAGCTCTAACAGCAAACAGAAATGGTTGATCAGTCAGTGATATATCAGGAACAAGCAGTGAAATTCATTCACATGAGCGATGAGCCTTTATGTCAAAATGTATGGTTATATTTAGGCTCCAAAACACGTTTATTTGCATGTCAGAGGTGAGGCAATCAGAATGAAAAGTAGTCAGTCATTTGCATTTGATTGTGTCGTGATGCAACGGGCATTGTTTATAATGTCTCAATTCCCAACTGCAGAGAAATGACGCTTTTTTGTTGTTGTGCATCTCTAGTGAACTTGGTTTGGCTTTGTTGTGAAACACATTGTGATCAGTGTGGGCTGACTTTGCGAGAAGTGATGAAAGCCAAAGAGCTCCCAGCTTGAATTAATCGTGGATACTAGCGCGTCTGAATTATCTAGAGTTTTCCCTCACATATATACACAGGGCTTTGCCGGGTCCAGGGTGTCACTTTGATTCAA